GAGCAACCTACCCTCCTGACGATCTATCGGTCATGATTAGCAATGGAAAGCCTCCCTTTTTAATCATCAAAAAGAGAGAGAGAGAGAGAGCATTAAAATATCCTTGTTTCGCCTAAATGGAAATCTGGTTTACCAAACAAAACACACGCACACCTAAGAGGTTGGCGGGAGGGGCTGTAGACCTTCCACGGGGCACATGCATACACAGGGACACACAAAACTCTAGCGTATCTACACAAAGTAGGGCGGATAAATTCAAAGGATTATTGGAACACGGCTATAATGAAATATAATCTGGAAGGAGACCACAGACCTGATTCTTTCTTTCTTTCTTTCTTTCTTTCTTTCTTTCTTTCTTTCTTTCTTTCTTTCTTTCTTTCTTTCTTTCTTTCTTTTTTTCTTTCTTTCTCTCTCTCTCTCTCTCTCTCTCTCTCTCTCTCTCTCTCTCTCTCCAGCCTATGAGGGGAAACGTTTTCAAAATAATTATTAATCTTATAGTTTCTGTAAATACAAAGTTAAATATAAAGTGGAGAACAACTTATTTATTTTCTCATCTGTTGACCTTGTAGCCTCTCCCACCCACCCAGCCCCGAAGAACATCTAGGAGATAGCTGTGTTTTTTTTTCCCCCTTTGAGAAAATCTACTGCATCTCTTGGGGAATACAAAACTACCTTTATCTACAGTGCCATTTTGAAGACAGGCAATACATACACACAAAGTTAATTTTTCCAATTATTTTTCTTTTAAATGACAGTTTAATATAGCCCGAAGACCTTGCCACTTCCCCCCACTTCTCCTCCTTCTCCTCTTCAGGTGTTTATCTCTCCTATCTCAGTATCAATCAAACAATTTGAATTGCTTTCTACTTCCAGGCCCCCGGAGGGGAAATCATTTTTAAAGAAAGGCAGTAATATACCTTGATTTCCCTCCTGCCTTCCTCTCAACATTCTGAATTTTCCAAAGCCTTGGTCAAAATTTTTTGAAGCTTGGAGAGAATTTAGGATTTCTTCCCCAATTCCTGGGCCACTTCTAAAATCTCAAAACACTGACAAGGCAAGATAATTTCTCCACCCACCAACACTCAGATTCCTAGTTTGTACCTGCCAAGGTCAATCTGCATTCAAGTAGCAATTTTCAGTTTACTAAGAAATGCCATATACATTAGCAAATAATAAATAATATAATGTAATAAACTACTATATCATTCATATATACGGTTTAGTATGTAATCTCATTTTGTGTAGCCAGGAAAAATATAAAAATGCCAAACCCCACCGGCAAAGCAGTAGAGAAATTTAAATCTGCAGAAGACTTCTTATAAACACTTTGTGGAAGTCAAGCCCGTAGATCTCAGTTAGACTCATGCCCAAATGATCAGTAGGATCAAAGTTAAACACCTTTTTGATTTGATCATATGTATGCCTACTCTGAGATAAGTGTTACTCAATTCAACTGGACTTACTCTCAAGTAAATATAAATGGTGGATTGCAGCCCTGGGGGGTTCATGGGCTTCCATGACAGAGATTTAATTGATTGGCTTTGTATGGATGGCTCCCATTGCCTGGTAAAGCTAATTATTTTCAGTGACACTTACTTTCAAAAAAAAAAAAATGAAGAGCCAAATTCTACTTAGAAAAGGAGGAAGACAGATAAGATAGATATGCATCCATATACACGGGACAATTTTTTCCCCCTCATAATCTTTACTATTGCATTTTATAGCAGCAAAAGCATTAAAAATGGGGGTGAATGCCTGTTCTCTTTGGGACCCAATCTTAAAGAACAGTGCAGTTATACGTTTATTTAGTTAGTTCTCGCTCATTTTTCTTCCAGGATGTTGCTTCCTCCTTCCTGTTTATTTTATATTATTGTTACCATTCAGGCCTGTGCAGGATCCGGAAAGTGGTGCTGGCTGGGTTTGTGTAACCTGTTCTCAAGCTGTTGTCATGGAAACATAACACAAACCTCCCACAAAGCTTTAGGTCGCCTTTGTTGTGCCAGGGGACTCAGAGGCCCAAACCATCTTACAGGGTGAGGAAGTGGTGGCAACCACCAAAACCACCACTGGGAGGAAAAAAAATCCCTTTATTTAGAA